CCTGCAATTAGCCAGCATCTTGGCTACCATACCCGTTCACAGACTTCCGAATGCGGGCTTAGAGGAAGACGTGTTGTAAATTTGTTTTGAGAGCAAAAATAGAAGAGAGAGAGAGAGAGAAAAAAAAAACTGAAATTAACACGGGGGAAAAAAAAGCAAAGCATTTCCAGCTTGTTAACTCGGAGATCATTTTAAAGATGTTGTTACTCGTCAAAAGTGACATGTCGTTCAATAGACGACACGGACCCATTTTCAGCAACGCCCTCTGCCGTCACACAACAACAATAACGTCGATTGGCTTGTTAACAGAATGAAAGAATAACATAAGTTACGTGTTTTTGTTTTGTTTTGTTTTTTTGTTTTTTTCTTGTTTCTTTTTTTTTCCTTTTTTACTGAAAGTTGCAAAATTAAGTATTTTTTTTCTCTCCTTCTCTTTCGTTAGATATACAGTAAGGTTTCCCTTGAGGCGATTAACTACCAGGAATAAACTTTTAAGAATAAAGATGGCTTCTTGGTTAGACCAGTAAACGGACGTATAACATTTCAAGATGCTTTTTTCATATTCTGCGAAAATTTATTTTAATATGCTTTGTGTTATATAATCATTAAATCTTTGCACCTATTTCTTTAGTCTTATGTCTACTGCATTTTTTTGTACCTAGTAACAAAAGTAATATATATATATATATATATATATATATATATATATATATATATATATATATATATATATATATAAAAAAAGCTTAACACTAATATTCCATGGTCATAATCTATTCCATTCCAATGGAATAAATTATGACCATGGAATATTAGTGTTTAAGCCTTTTTATTATATCCTTACTCTGTCTTGGACATTGAGTTCTACCTGGATTCTATCCTCTTGGAATTTTTATTCTAAAAATATACATGTGTGGGTATTTATATATTTCGCATACGTATGTGTGTGTGTGTGTTAGTCTTTTTAAATCATATCACGCCGAGCAATAAAACTACTAAAATTCAAGAGGTTACTGAGTGTCAGAGAATATAAAAAAAGAAAAACATTATTAAGCAGACAAAGAAGAGGAATTAAGAAGACAGAAGGTAACGATTGACATTGCATTTAAATTTTTGACGATCAAAGTTGACTGGAAAGCAGGAAGCCGTTAGAGAGTTCTACAAGCGAAAAGTGCAAGGGAAGCTATGTTACAGTGGTAGGAAAGTGATTAAAGCTGAGATGCCAAGTCAGGACCTATAACATTGCAGTTTCTTCTTTGGATTTTAACAAGGATCTCTTGGTACATTCTATTAAACTTCTTTTGATTATTGAGTTTGTCAGATGAAACTGTGTTTGGACTAAATGGTATATTTCCAATTGATCTCAAGCCACCTTGCTTTTTACACTCCATGACACCATCGTTTTTTTTTTTACCATTTTCATGAGGTTGTACAACACTAATTTTGTTTATACTGTCTCTTAGAGAGTTCATGATGATCAGCAGGAATGAAGATTATATAAAATTGTGGAACTGTGCCCAAATTCTTTTTTAGGCTCATAACTCTTGGGATATTATCTCTTCATTGTCAGATTGTTATTAACAAATAAATTATCATTGTGTAAGTGCTGTGAAAATTTTTCTGTCATTTCTAAAATCAGTACTAGCCATTGTTAGAATAAGTTTCTAGTGATGATTCTTACCTATCTTATGAGAAGAAAGGAAAATCACTTGTCTAAATGAAAAAGAAAATGATATACCCAGGAATTAATTTATTGGAATTTATATATTTTCCAATATCCTTTTTTTTATTTCATTTCACCCCAAGCAAGGCAATAATGACACTAAGATACAAAGAGTTACTGAGTGTGAGAGACTATACAAAAAAGAAAACATCATTAAGGAGAGGAAATTGTTAAAACAACAGGAATTAAGAAGACAGAGGATAACGATTGATATTGCATTTAAATTTTTGAAGATCTAAATTGACTTGAAAGCAAGAAGCCGTAAGAGCGGTCCACAGGCGAGAAGTGCTCGGGAAGAAATTGTTAGCATAGAACTTACGGTTACATCTAGCCATTTGAATTGTAAGAACAGTAATTTGATACTAATTTATATTCATAAAGTGTAGGTACCAAAGAGGAAAGCTTAGCGGAACAATTACCATTTCATAGAAAAGGCACAGGGATGCTATATTAGGGTTTGTCTTTTATCAAGAATCCCTAAATACATAGCAGAAACATCAGACCAGATGTGACAGCGATATTTAATGCAGAGACAAATGGTAGACTTATAAGTAGATTTCCTTAAATGAATCATTATCATTTTTTAAAATTCTGAATAGTGTTTATCCATTAGTCTGATGTGTAGATTTGTATATTTTTCATTATAATATATCTTACGTGACGTTAATGGCTGGTCACACGTTTTCGGTGATACTCGTCTACAGGGGCGGCTAGCTAATCCTTACTGCAGACGCTCAATCAGGCGCATTTTTTATTTGTTCAACACCCACATAGCCCATGCTGCAACTATGCTGAGCAGACCTTAGTTATATAGAAGAGTGTTATCGAGCATGAACAATAATTTGAACAAGGCCACGATGACTTGTGATTTCGTGCTAGAATTTTTTCTATCGTTTTTACTAAGCCCCAAGTCACATTCGGCAAACCTGGTTGCTGCAGACGCAAAAAAAAAAAAATGTCTGAAATCAAAACTGTTCCCATGATTTCGACTCACACGTGTCATCTTCAGGGGTGTGATAAAAGTTAAACGAAGGAACGAAAATTAAAAGTGTTTTATGTAGCGCGTTGGCTTGTTATATATATATATATATATATATATATGTGTGTGTGTGTGTGTGTGTTTTGACTGAATTCAATAAATGAAAACTCAGGAAAGTCTTGACGAATATGAATATGCGATTATTATTATTATTATTATTATTATTATTATTATTATTAATTCTTACATCGACGAAAAGTTCTTCACTTTTTCTTTGTAACTCCACAAAAAACGCGATACCTAATTTTTAAAATGAATTTTTAATAATGAAAAATCCTTCTTGAAAATTTTACTTTAGTATTAATTTCAAGCGCCATTTTTAGCAAAGTGTTATATAAATGTAAATCCCTTTATAAAAAATCTTCCAAAAATAAAATATACTTTTCTGAAACTTTATTCGGGGAACATTAGCCGATCTAAATTATAATTAATTTGATTTGAAACAACTATTATTTTTAAATAGTTTAAAATATCATAGAAATGAATTTTTTCAATGCGCCAGTAAATTATTTATGTTGCCTGCCTTTTAACAGCTCGATGACAGATAGAATTTTATCTCATGTTTGTCTACAGAAGCTTTAACTGTAAAAGATATAATTGAGGAATATAACCCGAACGCCTGTTAAATACTCATAAATCTTATAAATTTAAGAAAATATTCCCTGTAATCTAATGTCTTATTGAATTTTAGAGAATTTTGGCTCTAAATTTACTACGGTTCTCGCTCTTATTTTATGATAGTTTCGTACATGATTCGGCACGATTTTACACACATACAAAAAATTCTGTTCAAAATACTCAAGGTGTCAGACTGTAATAAGCTTTACAATATATGATAAGTATATAGTTTTAAGTAATAACAATCTTTCCCAAGACTTACACCATAGAAACTGAATTTTAAAAGATTTGAAAAATATTAGAAATTATTTTAATTATAATTTTATAAAAAAAATGAAAATAAATGTAGTAAAAATTCATTTTCATAGAAATTTTGATTTTCTTAAAACAATATTGTCCTTAATATATATTGTTCGTGAAAGTAATCAAAAGCTTCTCTAATTAAATAATGTCTGAGTTTTATTTCATATTTTACTTTTCGATTCAGAGCAGATTTGCTTCAGAAAAAAAATCCCTAAAAAACGGTGATTTAAATTCTCAAAAGAATTCTGCGTTTAACTTATATAGTCACTAAAAATTATCACGTTGACTTATATAGTCACCAAAAATTATCACGTTGAATTTCTCAAGTTTTCATACAATTAAGTAAAAGGTGAAACACATGAAAAAAAAATGAATTTTCACGAAGATTTTCTAAGAAAAATATTTTTAAAATAATTTAATTCATTTGTGAATAATTCCTGATAATTTCATTAAAATCCGACAATTATTTGATTTTTGCAAGAACTTCCAAATTAATGTCTGTCACCGCCAAAAAGACGCTAAAATTTGCTATTCTGATTTATAGTATACCTGCTGAGCAAGAAAAACAAGATTTCTAATCAAACTTTCGAATGTTCTAAAATGGAGTAAAAAAATATAACTCAATATTCAAACAATAATTTGATCTTTCCTTTTAATAATAACATAAAGACTTTGATAATAAAACTATGTTTTCATTACGTTTGAAGCATGTTTTCATCACGGTATGCTGATTTTTTTTACCGATTTCATGGAGGTACCTATAATGCTTGTGTTCTTACAGTCTTAGTGGTTTTCCGTACACACTTGTATGCAGTTTCAAATATGTTTTTTTAGCAATTCACACCCACAAAGTTTTAGTAATTAGTCATTAATCCGAACAAAAGCACTTCTCCCAACACACGTAACCTTAAACAAGCAAAGTCGAGCGAAAACCTTTGACTCCAATACGAAAAATACGTTGTTTTCTCTGCAGGTGTCACATAACTTTTTATAGCCAGTGTTTGTCCGACATGTCAGCGGAATAATTGAATTTGACTCAAACGAAACACGCAGATCAGGGAAGTCAGTATCAAGCGACAATTAAGACTTAAATAGGCACAGATGAATACACCAACATTGACTTGTTGTCGTGCGAAATGTTCGGGATAAGGAGAGAGAGGGCCGTTTGGAAGAGGACGCCCAGGTGGTCAATGAAAAAAGGAAAGCTATGAAGGTGTCCGATCAGCGACAGGAAACGTGTGATCAGTAGAAACATAAACAGGTGTTTTCGGAAAGCGAAGGGAAACAAGTATCAATTTAAAGAAGGAAAACAAAAAGTCAAGAAAAGAAAAATGAAGAGCGAAATATGGAAAGAGGGAGAGATAGAGGTGGGGGGAATATGGAGAGTGAAAATAGGAGGGAAAAATGAAATATATCAGGAAGAAAAGGTATTGACCTAGGGAAAAAAATTAAAGACAAAAAGAAGGTAAAGAAAGGGAGTGGAAAAGAAAGAAAGAAAGAAAGAAAGAAAGAAAGAAAGAAAGAAAGAAAAAGCAAAGGAAAATTAAAGAGAAGAGAAAAGGAAAACGAAAGCAATGAATAAATAAATAAATAAAGAAAGAAAGAAAGAAAGAAAGAAAGAAAAGAGCAAAGAAAGTTTGAAGAGAAAAGAGAAACGGTGAAAAGAAAGAAAGAAAGAAAGCATAAGAGAAGGGAAATGGGAAAGGTTGAAAAGAAAGAAAAATCGAAATAAAAAGAACATAAGGAGAAATGTGAAATTAAGGAGAAAAAAAAGAAGAAACTTACTGAACGAAAAAAAGAAAGAAAGAAAGAAAGAAAGAAAAAGCAAGGAAAATTTGAAGAGAAAAGAGAAACGATGAAAAGAAAGAAAGAAAGAAAGAGAGGAAGAAAGCGTAAGAGAAAGGAAATGGGAAAAGTTTGAAATGAAAGAAAGATCGAGATAAAAAGAACTTATAAGGAGAAGTGGGGAATTAAGGAGAAAAAAGGAGAAAATTACTGAAAGAAAGAAAGAAAGAAAGAAAGAAAGAAAGAAAGAAAACGCTGGTAAAAGTTGACGAGAAAATGGAAACGATGAAAAGAAAGAAAGAAAGAAAGAAAGAAAGAAAGAAAGAAAGAAAAAACGCTGGTAAAAGTTGACGAGAAAATGGAAACGATGAAAAGAAAGAAAGAAAGAAAGAAAGAAAGAAAGAAAGAAAGAAAACGCTGGTAAAAGAAGAAAATGAAACGATGAAAAGAAAGAAAAAAAAGAAAAAAGAAAGAAAGAAAAAAGAAAGAAAGAAAAAAACGCTGGTAAAAAGTTGACGAGAAAATGAAACGATGAAAAAGAAAGAAAAGAAAGAAAGAAAGAAAAACGCTGGTAAAAGTTGACGAGAAAAATGAAACGATGAAAAGAAAGAAAGAAAGAAAGAAAGGAAGAAAGGAAGAAAGAAAGAAAGAAAGAAAAAAGCTGTTAAAAGTTGACGAGAAAATGGAAACGATGAAAAGAAAGAAAGAAAGAAAGAAAGAAAGAAAGAAAGAAAGAAAGAAATGAAGAAAGAAAGAAAGAAAGAAAGAAAGAAAGAAAGAAAGAAAGAAAACGCTGGTAAAAGTTGACGAGAAAATGCAAACGATGAAAAGAAAGAAAGAAAGAAAGAAAGAAAGAAAGAAAGAAAGAAAGGAAGAAAGAAAGGAAGAAAGGAAGAAAGAAAGAAAGAAAACGCTGGTAAAAGTTGACGAGAAAATGGAAACGATGAAAAGAAAGAAAGAAAGAAAGAAAGAAAACGCTGGTAAAAGTTGACGAGAAAATGGAAACGATGAAAAGAAAGAAAGAAAGAAAGAAAGAAAGAAAGGAAGAAAGAAAGGAAGAAAGGAAGAAAGAAAGAAAGAAAACGCTGGTAAAAAGGACGAGAAAAATGGAAACGATGAAAAGAAAGAAAGAAAGAAAGAAAGAAAGAAAGAAAGAAAGAAAAAACGCTGGTAAAAGTTGACGAGAAAATGGAAACGATGAAAAGAAAGAAAGAAAGAAAGAAAGAAAGAAAGAAAGAAAGAAAGAAAGAAAGAAAACGCTGGTAAAAGTTGACGAGAAAATGGAAACGATGAAAAGAAAGAAAGAAAGAAAGAAAGAAAGAAAGAAAGAAAGGAAGAAAGAAAGAAAGAAAACGCTGGTAAAAGTTGACGAGAAAATGGAAACGATGAAAAGAAAGAAAGAAAGAAAGAAAGAAAGAAAGAAAGAAAGAAAGAAAGGAAGAAAGGAAGAAAGAATGAAAGAAAACGCTGGTAAAAGTTGACGAGAAAATGGAAACGATGAAAAGAAAGAAAGAAAGATAGAAAGAAAGAGAGGAAGAAAGCGTAAGAGAAAGGAAATGAGAAAAGTTGAAATGAAAGAAAGATCGAGATAAAAAGAACTTATAAGAAGAAGTGGGGAATTAAGGAGAAAAAAGAAAAGAAAATTACTGAAAGAAAGAAAGAAAGAAAGAAAGAAAGAAAGAAAGAAAGAAGGAAGTAAAGAAGGAACACTAAGGTGAACGAGAAAAATGGAAAATAATAAAGAAAGAGAATAAAAACTGAAACAAGTAATGAAAATAATAGAAAAGAAATAAAAACGAAAGAAAAGAGAAAATGACAAAGAATAAAGAAATGAATTAATAGAAATAATTAAATAAGAGACAAAAGAAAGAAAGAAAAAAGATGAAAGAAAGAAATAAAAAGAAAGAAATTAAAAAGAAAGAAAGAAGTAACGAACAGAAGTGAATGAAAAAAAGTTGAAAAATGATGGAAGAACAAAAAACGAAAAAGAAAAAAATGCAGTAAGATACATGAAATAAAAAGTGGGTGATATAAAAAATAAAGAAAATAAAAAATAAAAAAAGACGAAACTGATAGGAAAAAAGGAAGGAATAAAAAGACACACACACACACATACATACATACATACATACATACATACATACATACATATATATATTACAATAAACGTGCAATCAATTTACAAATACATGAATTATTCACACAAAACTAATGCAAAGGTTAATGATTTAAATGGCGAGACATCCATCTCGCAACTTTGACAGTAAAATTTACCAGTAAAATAATTTGTTCATTACCATATTTGGTATAAACGCAAACACTTTAAAAAAAGAAATTTAAAATCAAACTCAGCGTTGCTTTGGCGCGTTCAAAAACCAATATCTCATTTTCAATAGCATTTCGGATACAATACACATATATTTTCGATGTCCTCTTATTACTAAGAGAAAAAAAACAAGAACAACATCTATTATATACCTGAAGATGTCTGTAGGAACAGACGAAAGCTTGTAGTAAAAATAACAACTAATACGGCAGAAATTTATATAAACAAGGATCAATTCATTCATAACGGATCTGGAGGTTTTTGTGTACTATTTGAATTGTTTGCGAGATGGATGTCTCGCCATTTAAATCATTAACCTTTGCATTAGTTTTGTGTGAATAATTCACATATATATATATATATATATATATATATATATATATACACCTAGATACAAAATTTCCCTGACGATCCGTTTAGGTGAAACCTAGGTAGGTTTGTCTGGCTCACTAGGTGTATCTAGGTCTGCTCTACGGTTGTATTGAGCTCTTTTGTTAGTTAGTTGTTACTCGTATCGGGGTTTTTTCTTTGGGCTTTTTTGTCGGCAGAAGTCCATGTTTGTAGCTCTTTCTTTTTTTAAAACCTTTTTTCCCTCGAGATTGATTTGATTAGCAAATCGAAAATTCGAGGGTTTTTCGAAAACGAGTCTAGTTATCTATCTATCTATATATATATATATATATATATATATATATATATATATATATATATATATGATAAGAAAGTATTTCACTTTATAGGGATCAGAACTTATATAAAGTATAAGGATTGCTTGCTTACAAGCGAAGATCGATAAATATTTTCAACTGTTTATTTTTATTATAAGTAAATACATAAATAAATACGGCAGGGATGAAGGCGCATTTAGGCGTATTTATTTATCAAATCAGTCGGGTTTCGATCCCAGCTTGAGGTAATCGGATGTCTAGCCACACTGATGAGCTGTGAAAATTTGTGAATGACTATATATATATATATATATATATATATATATATATATATATATATATATATATTCTGAAGTAAAGAATCCAGCTTCCGATGGATTCATGCGAAAACATGGGAGAAAATACGTGGTGTCTTGGGACAGTGAGCAAGAACATCACAAAAAAAAAGAATAACAAATCGGTAAAAGTGACAATCTGACGAAGGATAGAAACCATTTCGCCAGCATTACACAAACTCAAAGAGCACATTGCTGGAGCGTTGACAAGACGTACATCAGTTGATGTCTACTGAAAGCCATTTAGGAATGGTAGGAAAACGGAAAGAAAACTGATATGAACATAAATAAATGTACATAAGAAAAAGAAAAGGTAGAAAAAAATGTTTCTTTTTTAGTCGAAAAGAAACTAACATGGCGGTATCTTCTCAGCCCAAGATCATTTTCTCAAAATTACAGCAGAAAGTCAACATAAAAGATTTATTTTTATTTCCTTATTTGTGGAAGAGAATCATGGCCGGATCGAAAACGTCTCAAGGGTGAGGAAGAAAGCACTGACGTTTTTGAAAAAAAATAATCACCAAATCATTAATTTTAGCATCAAAAAAAGATTATTAACGTCAATTTGTTTATATTGAATTAGCATTTGACAAAATCAATTGTGCAAAACAACATCCTTCATGTGGTTTCCGTTTTCATTGATGCATTTTTGAAGGCGTTCTTGAAAGTTAGCCTCTACACTTACCTGCATTGTACTGTCGATTTGGGCTACTTCCACGCGAATAGATTCCTTCAAATCGTCCAATGTGCGGGGGATTATACTCATACTCACCGTCGAGATTTCCCCACAAGAAATAATCAGACATGGACAAATCAGGGAACCGAGGGTTGGTGGGAGGTGTCAAGGATTGTCAGTCTGATTTTGGTGAATGTTGACAGAAGCATTATTCTTCACGAAACTCTCGTAGGCGAACACAGCGCCATGGCTTCAGCTGAGAAGAAAAAAAGTGCTAAGAATCGAATGGTACCTGTCGGATTTATGTCCCTTCCCCTGGAGCTGAGTAATAGCCATTTAAAAACGTCCGTTCTTTCTGCCTCACCCTATATATTAATAAACTAGCAGTAGAGCCCGACGTTGCCCGGGGATGCAACAGTAAGAGATAGATCAAGTATCGACCATCATAAAGACTGAAAATTAAAATTGACAAAGATTATTGTTTAAGGTTGACGGACACGCATGTCTTAATTAGTTTTTTTTGTTTTTTGTTTGTTTTTTTTTTGTTGTTTTTTACGAATTGGTCAAACTCAAACAAAAACATTGTTTTCAATCGTTATGAGTCTATCGATTGAATAGAATTTTATTATAAACAATTGCCTTGTAAATGGAATTTTTAAAGCATTCTGAATGTAAAAATAAAGAAAAAAGTCTACAAGACAATAAGAAACACTACCTGCCAAAAAAAAAGGTGAAGTTTTGTTGAAATCGGTTGAAAAATGTAGGAAATCCGATCCCATATATAAACGAACACACACACACACACACACACACACAACCTGGGTTTTATAATAAGTATAACTCGATATGAGTTGTCCCCCTTTCATTCTGGCGACAGAATCGTGTTTTCAAATTGATTTCGTGCAAAAACAATTGTGTTTTTCCACTTTTTGGCGCTGTCAGAACCACCACAATGTAATTTTACGCAGTCCTGTGAAGTTTTGTTGAAATCGGTTGAAAAATGTAGGAAATCCGATCAAATATATAAACGTTACAGACACACACAAACACACACACACACAACCTGGGTTTTATAATAAGCAAAATTATTGTCATTGTTTCTCTCTTCTAAGATATTAGATGGAATATTACTTCTACCATATTCAATATAATAATATTGGTTCGTCTATTATATTCACTAGAATATTGTTTCTTCTACCAAATTCAATATAACATTGTTTTTCTACAATAATACAATAATATTCTACAATAATACAATAATACAATAATACAATTTTCTACAATAATACAATAATATTCTACAATAATATTGCTTCTAATTTCTACAATAATATTGCTTCTTCTAATTATTATTTCTCTCTTTTGCCATATTCAATAAAATAATACAATTATTGGAAATCTGCTTTAACTCGAGACGATAAAAAGGAAGGTTTGTCTAAATACTACTATATGCATTTTACCTCAGAGAAGTAATTCTACCTAACCTTCTAACTTATTTACTCAAATGGTGGCATTATTATTATTATTATTATTATTATTAATATTAATTTGTTGTATAATCTTGCCAGAGTGTAATTTTAAGTGTCTGATTCACAAGTGCCATCCGGAGTCTCTGAGTGAAAATGACATTGTAGGAAAGTTATCTATGCACATGGAACGTTTTATTTACATGGAGACTGCTTTTGCGGATGTTATGTGCAGTTCCACAGAAAATAATCTTTTGTAGCACTGACATGCTGATGTGTCCAGGAATTTTACTCACATGACTTTTGGTACCCTTCTTTATCCTGCCCAATACCCCGGTCACAACTCTCGGTCACGATGACTTCTGCCTTCGTGCTAGCACAACCACTGACGGCTCCGAAGGGTTCTGGATACCCAATTTTACTCACAAGGCTTGGTTCAACTCCCGGTATGGTTTTCAGGCAAAGGTGCCGTACAATGGGATCGCCTCCTCCAGACCGATGACATCAAAAAGTCATCTTCCTATCAAATAGACCATGGGGAGATTCGAACCTGGTTTTCACGATCAAAACGTTCTAATCAGTCAGCCACATGTCCATTAGTCGGAAATACATATACCTACGTATATCTACTTATTGTTGCATATGAATATTCATATACATTTAAATGCTTATCTGCTGAACAGCTTTGATCATATTTAACTGACGATCTTCTCATGAGAAAACACACACACACATATATATATATATATATATATATATATATATATATATATATATATATATATATATTCTATGAAAATTTCTCGGACATTCAGGCCGGTAAATGTTATTTAATACTGTTTATTATAAACAGAGCATTTACTTAAATACTTGTATCTATAAAAAGAATGTTAAACATAAAAATGTCTTTAATAAATAAATTGTCGGACTTTGTCCATTTCTTAATGTATGACGTCATTTGTTTACATTTGATACGCCATGAGCAGTTATGAATGTACGAGATTCATGGAAGATTGAAGTTTATAAGCAGTAAATTCAACCTTGCCAACCGAACGTTCCTTTGTGGCCGAGCGGTCAAGGCACGTCAGTGTAAATGACGGTTCCGTATAGGATGCAGGTTCGAATCCTGTCAAAGGACGAATATTTTCTATGAAAATTTCTCGGACATTCAGGCCGGTAAATGTTGTTTAATACTGTTTATCATAAACAGAGCATTTACTTAAATACTTGTATCTATAAAAAAAGAACGTTAAACATAAAAATGTCTTTAATAAATAAATTGTCGGACTTTGTCCATTTCTTAATATATATATATATACAAATATCGACGAGTCTTACAGAGGAGTTAAATTCTTTTCTTGCTTTTATTCCGACTTGTAAGTTTGTTCGAGAATTTATTGTCCATTATTTAATAAAACACTAATGATTTGTTTGAAGTCTTGTATAGACTGTGGCCAATATTAGAACATTTATAAATCACTTATTAAAAATGACGTCACTATCGTAATGGAAAGTAGAAAATAAAGAAGAAACGAAACGAATCAGAAGAAATAAGAAGCGAAATTAAAAGCTGATATGCCAATTGGATGAGTATTTTTATTACACTGGAAATTACTGTTTAAATGTTTTCTTATCTATACATCTACACACACAGACACGCATATATATATATATGTGTGTGTGTGTGTGTGTGTGTGTGTGAAAATTTTCTCTGAGTTAACCTATAGAAAAAGACAATTTTATAAAGGTAAAAGAAAATAGGAAAACTGTATTGGAACAAAGTAGCTATTAACAACAAAATAAAATCTCATTAGCAACTGAAAGAATTTAGAAAATATGAATACAATAACGTTTTCCAAATTCCTCCAGTTGCTAAAGACATTTTGTTTTGTCGTTGATAGTTACTTTATTTTAATAAATTCATTTCGTTTATGTCTTGAAAAGTCCACATTGGACGAAACGCCATGGCTAATAATACAGTTTTCCTATTGTCTTTTACCTTTATAAATATATGAACTGATGGTAAGGATTATGGCATCATTCACCAACTTAAAAAAGACACCGTCAAGAAGAGTTGCAAGAGTTCTTTGCTTTGCTAATATTCTTCAAATTTCAATCTAATCATTATTTCTTTGATTCATTCATTTCTTTCTTTGTTTCATTCACTCATGAATTCTTTCTTTCTTTCTTTCTCTTTCTTTGATAATATCTCTTCAAATTTTGATACAATCTTTCTTTCTTTCTTTTATACCTTTGTTTCTGTTTCATTCATTAATTCATTCTTTCTCTTCCTTTGATAATATCTTTTCAAATTTTAATCTAATTAGTTGTCTTTCTTTCTTTCTTTCTTTCTTTCTTTCTTTTATTCCCTTCTTCTTTGTCCCATTCATTCATTCTTTCTTTCTTTCTTTTTCTTTTCTAATATCCCTCCAAATTTTAATCTAATCATTTTTTTTATTTTTTATTTTTATTCTTTCTTTGTTTCATTCACGGAGTCTTTATTTCTCTTTCCTTGATATTATCTCTTCAAATTTTAATCTAATCGTTCTTTATTTCTTTTTTCTTTCTTTTCTTTGCTAATATCTCTTCAAATTTTAATCTAATTATTCTTTTTTTTTCTTTTTCATTCTTTTCTTTCTTTGTTTCATTCATTCATCTTTTGCTTTCATTGATAATATCTCTTCAAATTTTAATTTAATCATTCTTTCTTTCTTTCTTTTCTTTCTTTTTATCTGGAAGCTTTATATTTGAATGTGATTTGTTGTATATACTTTAAGTCTAACTGTATCTATGCCAAGGAGGATGCAAAATTGCCGCAAGGGGTCGCTTACCGTTTACCAAGCGAACAACCGAATGGGAGACTGAATGCGCGATTAGCGTTTCTTTCGTTGCGTCGCTGCGGGCCCTGCACGGCAGAAACAAGTTAGCAAATTGTGCCTAAGAGCCACGCTTCGACTAAGACATCGAACAGAAAGCCAATGAATCTAAAAGGCCGATTCAATTGTCAACAGTTTACGT